ATGATTGCAGAAAAAAACACATTGGTTTTTTTTCTTTCTTTTTTTTTTGTTGGTGCTGGTGGTTTGCTTCATTGTTGCTCCAGAATCACTATAATGGGTAACATTGTAAACATTCATATTGTCTGTTAAGCAACTGCTACCTAAATCTGGCTTCCATGAGTTTCTTAAATGAGCTTCATATGCCATCAAAGCACTGAATCTCCGCATCACCCGAGTACAAAGGCCTATGCACTTAAATTTACCGTAAACAGAACACCAAGAGTTAAAGGTGGGTTCTAAAATCAGAAGTGACTTTAATAATAAATTCCTAGAAATGCTGTACCTATATTTTATTGTGATTTGACTGAGCACTTCTCACGAATGGCACCTATCATCCACACCATTGGTTCAAGTCCTGGCATATGTTATCACTCTTTTAAAGACTCAAAGATGAGAAAAAGTTTAAGAACTTGAGAAACTAAGATAGACACTAGTGATTGCTGACAAACTGCTTTGCATCAGGCTTTCTGATAAATCTTAAAATGAAACAAGTAGAAAAGGAAAAACTTTCACTGGCTCTGACCTTCTGACTATTTTCCATATTGATGACACATGTATTTCTTTTATATGTATTTCAGAATCTTGAATACATAGAGCTCAAATTACATTACACCAAAACATTAAAACAGAAGTAATATTCTGAAATAATGAAAGGGATTTGAACATGGGAAAGGGGGTAAACCAGTGATCATAGAGGAAGGAGAGACAGATCAATGTAATGAGGAACAAAAGTTGTAGAGCTAAAATTTGATTCAGTCCTGATTAAAATGAAAAGAAACTATAGGTTTTGATGGCAGTTGAAAAGAGGATTTCAGAGGAAATAATCTTGTTGACACAGGTTGACGGGCTTCCCTGGTAGCTCAGCTGGTAAAGAACCACCTACAGTGAAGGAGACCCCAGTTTGATTCCTGGGTTGGGAAGTTCCCCTGGAGAAGGGATAGGCTACCCACTTCAGTATTCACGGCCTCCCTGGTGGATCAAATGGTAAAGAATCCATCTGCATGCAGGAGACCTGGGTACAATCTCTGGGTTGGTAAGATCCGCTTGAGGACAGCACGGTGACTTGCTCCAGCCAGTATTCTTGCCTGAGGAATCCCCGTGGACAGAGGAGCCTGTCCTCTAATTAAGCAAAACATACACAGCACGTACAGGCTGGTCATTCAAAACCCTGTGCTAGAGTTTTCCCTTCTCAACGAGAGAAGAAAGAGATCAGAGCACATTTACATTCAAGGACTAAGGAGTTACCTTAGAAATCAGCTAGAAAGAGTTTTATTTAAGTTCAGAACTTTACCTGTGTTTTACTCTCATGAAGTACAGCTTCTTTCTCTACTTGTTTTATCAAAAAGGGGGCAAGAGACTTTCAGAGATATTTGAGTCTTAACTCCAAAATTTTGTTTCATCACCAGATCTCAACTTTCTCATTGCAAGACCAATGTGTGTCATACATAAAATGATACTTGTTTTAAGAAATTGCTTTTTTTCTTTAGCTCTACTATATAGTTATATTAGAAAATTAAACTTGCTCATTTAAAATCTAGTTGAATTCACCAATGTGATGGACATGAGTTTGAGTAGGCTCCAAGAGTTGGTGATGGACAGGGAAGTCTGGCATGCTGCAGTCCATGGGGTTGCAAAGAGTTGGACATGACTGAGCTACTGAACTGAACTGAATTCACCAACCTATTAATTATATAGACAGAATGAGATGTAGATATATTTCTAGATGTAGCTATAGAAATATCAATAGCTATAGACTTAAACACAGACTTGTAGAGTTATAGGTACAGATATACATATAAATATAGAGAAAAGTGTGATATCATAGGATCTTATGTTGATAAATAAAAAAGTTTAAGACCCTTTGGGTGCAGCTTACATCATGCCTGTAACAGATTTTAATCCAAACACAACACCAACACAAGCTGTCAATTCAAACACAACTAAGTTTGGTTCTTCCACCCTACATAAGTCAAGAAAGGGACAGCTGAGGAATGGGGTAGTCCATGGGGTCAAAATCACAGAGAGGTTACAGGGGAAACACATTCAGGAAAATGACCTCTCCTTGTAATAACTGGGAATGGGTGCTTTGAAGAAGATGAAATCTCTGGGAAAGATCAGGTGATGGAAAAATGAAGGTTCCCAAAATGAAGAACAGAAATGAGAGTGGGTGTTGGTATTAAGGGGAAATTCTTTTGCAGAAGAGAAGAAAGGGGAGAAAGAGAGATGGAGACCAGTGAATAAGTAAAGGTCGAAGGGAAATAAAGTTAGCATTGGCTATTAACTAGTATTAAAGGTCACAGTTCTCCATTTTTATCTGTTCTTGACCTATTTCCATCTTCTTTTTGTTCTTCTGGGGACAAAGATCTCTTTTTGAAACCTTTGATTCCTTTAATCATTTAATAATTGCTTCTAGTTTTTGGCTTCTGCTGAAAAGGCTCTTTCTGAGCCCTGAGAATGCACTGGTATTAAAGGTGAGAAACAGAAGCAGTACTTTGAGTTGTTCCAAGGAAAAGCACTTTAGAAATCAAAGGCATTGCTATATTGCTTTTATTCTCTCCTTTCCCTGAAAACTTGGGATAACATTAGCTCTGATTCTTGAAGAGAAGTCTTTTGGTCTAGCCATTATATTTATAATCTGTGACTTTAAGAAAGCAGTGGATATTTAAATTCATCAACCTTATCCAATAATCTTCTCTCTCCATTAAATCTGGTGCTAGGCATCTAATCCAGAAATCAGAAATAGAAGCATTGTAACTTATTTTATCTTCCATGTAAATCACATCCAGCTATCCATAAATTATAAGGGCATATAGCCAGGCAGTATCAGTTCTGTGCAAACAGTGATACATAGCTGAATGGGCACTGAACACATATGATGTTAGTGCATGAACAACCCTTTCATATCTTTACACAGTTATATAATAGTTGCTTATTATGATGATAATTTACATGAACAATGGAATAACAAATAAAAGATAAAAATAAGTTATTTGGGAAATAAGTAATTAATGTTTCTAAGTATCAGTTACTGTCTATCAAGGCAAAATTGGATGGAATGTACAGTGGTATCTTACAATAATAACTTGGGTAGTTCCATGAAAGGTACCACTTAGGGAGAAATATCTAAACACAGCCTGAGGAGAAAGGAGGTTATAAATTAGAGACATAATTCATATTTGGCAGTTCATATAGTTGGAAATCATACACAGGTTTAAAAAGATGAACAGGTTTAAAAAGAAAATATTTTAAGAGGAGGTTGGTATAATTCCAAGCTGTGATTATTCAACATGTCCAATAATTTTATACATGTTATACACATATAATAAAATACATATGAACACACACACATATATACAGGTGAAGCCAAGGGTATGAAAGAAAACTTGAATTCTTTCTATTAGTCAACTAAAGTTATTTATGTCCTTATAGATTCAACTTAAATTATAATACATTTATTTCCAAATATACCTATTATTTGGAAATAAAAGACACATCAAAATCCTGTGCAACAGATGAAAATTTCTGGAAGTAAAACAGTCTTGTATGAAACAAGGGCACTGCTTCATAACCTTTTCCCAAGTGTTGAATTGGGAAAATGAATCCCATTTAAAGATGGAAATATTGGCGTTGATGACATGAAAATAATTTTGGATACCTAAAGCAAAACCAACTTGGAGACCTATTTTTCTTCAAGTGCTAGTGACAACATAAATTATGAGAGGTCTATACCGTGTCTGTTTCTCTGAAGGCTTGAGTGTAGGCTCCGTGTTTTGTTCACTGATATCTCCCAAGATCCTTGAACAATATCTGGCATACAGTAATCACTTATTATTAAATATTTATTAAGTTAAATAGTTGTTGACATTCCCAGTATGGAAATTGTACAACCAGGTGTTCTCCACCTGTTCTCTAACTTAGTTACAATTATTGCTCTCAACAGCAACAAAAAAGTAAAAGCAAACAAACATCACCCATCTGTCACTTTAAGTTTACCTAGAACTTGCCATACACATTCCCAGCCTGACATCTGGGTTCATCAGAGCAAAAATGACTGTGCCCCAGAGCCCACAGTGGGGCCCACCTAGTGATGGCCCCTGTTCTCTCCCCTGCCCCCCAATGGAGCGAATGAGGTCCTCTCCAAATTTGTTTGGAAATGGGGTCATTAGTAGACACAAATAGGTAAGACATGAGTCATGGACATAAGTGGCTGAGTCAGGATGAGATTATACCAGAGTTGGATGACTCCCCATTCGATAGGAATTGTGTCATTATAAGAGGGGAAATTTGGACACAGACAGGCACACAGGGTAAACACCATGGAAAGATGACGGTGGAGATTGAAATGGTGCTACCCCATGGACTGTAGCCTGCCAGGCTCCTCTGTCCATGGAATTCTCCAGGCAAGCATACTGGAGTAGGTAGCCATTCCCTTCTAAAGGGGATCTTCCTGACCAAGGGATCGAACCTGGGTCTCCTGCCTTGCGGGTAGATTCTTTACCATCTGAGCCACCAGGAAGGCTCTTATACAAACTAGGTTTGTACAATCTCTTATACAAACCAGAGATTGCTAGGAAAACACCAGAAGCTAGGAAAAAGGGTGGAATAGATCCCCTCTCACAACACTCAGAAGGAACCCTGTCAACACCTTGATCTTGGGCTTCCAGCCTCTGGAACTGTGAGACAACACATTTCTCTCACACCACCCACCTTTATGGTACTTTGCTACAGCAACCCTTAGCAAACTAAAAATACAGTCATTTACTCCTCAAAGCGTGTCAGATTTCCTACCAGGCACACTTGTACCCTGACCTCACTTTCATTGGGCACTATCTTGTTCAGAACTCAGAGTTCACAAAATTGCCTCCACTTTATTCCAAAGCATCCACAATTATATGTTGTCACTGTCTAACACATTCTTCCATCATATTACATAGCAATTACCTCTGACATCTTTCTCTTACCTTCTGCTTGCTCCTGTGTTTGGGGTGGTGTAACCTGGAGGGGGTGGTGGAAACCAGGATTGTCTGTTAAGAAATGACATCGGTTATAAACACCGTGCTCAGAAGACCTGATCCCACCCACGTGTCTTCCAGGAAAAGCTGAAAATAAATTGACAGGTAAAAAGGCAATGAGATGATTCTCCTACAAGGTCTTAGAGATAAAATGAAAACTATCTACTTCCTGCCATAGGATTCCAGGCAATCTCCTCTCCCAAATAAATCCCTTTGCCCATTTCCTTTGACACTAAACAATGTAGACATTTCTTTAAAAAGAAATCTGTGGGAAATCTGGAAAATAATAACATTGAATCTAAACGGTAGGTCCATGGGTGCTCATTATCAACACACCTCTCGTTTTTCTGCATTTCTGAAACATTTTGTAGTAAAAATAACAATGCTGTTATGTTCTACTCAAAATATGGTTTTAAAAAATCTGTATGATAGGAAATGCTGAAAGTAAGAATATTGAAAATATAAATGAATGCCACAGCAGTGCCAAGCTCAATTTTATATAGATGCATATGAACAACGAAGCACACATGTTTATACATACATGTACACACACATACGTATATCCAATTAGAAAGATGGCTTCCCATTATTAAAACATCATTTTAATTGGTAGAGATAGCTAAGAACTCTGTCAAAAAGACTAAGTTATAGATTAAAAATGATGTTCGGAGGAGAGTAAGATAGCCTGGAAAAGGAAGATCAAGGATAAGGACAGGAGAGTCCTTTAAATTCTCGAAGCTTGTCTATTCTCTGAGATTGCAGGACTGTGCTCAGATGGGATGGGAGTAAATCAAAGCCAATTTCAGCTCAATGCAACCCCCGAGAGCTTAGTCAAGGCACACCACAAAAGTGAGAGTCGTGTTTCTCCCTGCAATGGTTCTGAATGATGCGTAGCCTATCAGAGGAAAGATTCTTGCCTTGGGTAAGAGATTGAACTAGCTGACCTTAAATTTCCCTTTCAGTTTCTCCTAAGAGACAAAGAAAGTATCAGGGAGAATGTGAAATTTGGATCCAAGAGAAAGGTAATCTTACTTCCTGAGACTCTGTAGACACAATCAAAATTTCATTTGCAGGAGAAAATAGAATCAGTCATTTCCCTCCAGGAGGACTACAGGAGCAGCTGACAGTCAGCCAGATCATCAACAAGCGCTGAACACCGGCTGTTCACCAGGCCTAGTCCTGTGTGTGCGTGCTAAGTCACTCCAGTTGTTTCTGACTCTTTGCAGCCACATGGACTGTAGTCCGCCAGATTCCTCTGTCCATGGGGATTGTCCGAGCAAGAATACTGGAGTGGGTTGCCATGCCCTTCTCCAGAGGATCTTCCTGACCCAGAGAGGAACCCATGTCTTTTACGTCTCATGCATTGGCAGGCAGGTTCTTTACCTCTAGCACCACCTGGGAAGCCCAAGCGTGGCCAGAGGAGCAAGCCAAGAAAATATGAAAATTTCAAAAGCTCCGAGGTTCATGAATTCTTGTTTTCCACTCATGTCACAATTCACTGGCACTGTGTTCTCTTCGACATGCAAAAATCACTCCCACCATCACATTGTGTCACATAAAGAAGATTCTACCACCGAAGATCTATCTACCTCCTCCTCCATGCCTACTAGATAAATGGAAGTTAGCACAGGCGAAAGTGGAAGGCCGTACAGGGAAGTTGAAGGAAGAGATAAGAAGTACACAGAGGCTGATGCCTCTAGATAGGACCTTTGACCCTGTACGTGGAGGAAGCCCAATCTACAGAGCAGAGGAGGCCTCCAAGATGCAGACTGGTTGCTGGAATCTAGTGACGCTTGGCCACACTGCAGATGTTATGCAGGATAAGGCAGTCCCTGTAGTAGGACTCTGTTAACATACGTTACCTGAAGTAGCTTTACTATCTGAGCTCTAGCATCAAAATATTACCTAGCTATTCAAGCCCCTAAGATGGCACATATGAAAACAAGATCAGATTTGTGGTTATCAGAGGCAGGAGGATTGAGGGAGATTGGAGGAAGGTGGCCAAAAGGTAAAAACTTACATTTTTTATTTGTCCTTTAGACCAACTTATTTTATATCCATTCGAAATATCATCCAACAAAGGACAAAGAAGTCATAAGTTCTAGGGTTGTAATCTATAACATGATGACTACAGTTACCATGATTGTATTATACATAGGATTCCCTGGTGGCTTAGATGATAAAGAGTCTGCCTGCAATGTGGGAGACCTGGGTTCTATCCCTGGGTCAGGAAGATTCCCTGGAGAAGGAAATGGCAACCTACTCCAGCATTCTTGCCTGGAAAATCCCATGGGGCAGAGGAGCCTGCCAGGTTACAGCCCATGGGATTGCAAAGAGTCAGTCACCAGTGAGTGACTTCATTTTCATATCATTTCATCATACATAGAAAAGTAGTTAAGAGAGTAGATCTTATGAGTTCTCATCAAAAGGAGAAATGTGTTTCTTTTTATTGACATAATGGATGCTCTGTGAGATGATGAATGTTGTGCATGCTAAGTTGCTTCAATCGTGTCCAACTCTTGGTGACCCGATGGACTGTAGCCCGCCAGGCTCCTCTGCCCACGGGATTCTCCAGACAAGAATACTGGAGTGGGTTGCCATTCCCTTCTTCAGGGGATCTTCCCTACCCAGGGATCGAACCCATGTCTCTTATGTCTCCTGCATTGGCAGGAGGGCTCTTTACCACTAGCGCCACCTGGGAAGATATGATGGATGTTAATTAAACATATTGGGTGATCACCTCACAATATGTTTAAATGACACTATACACCTTAAGCTTACACAGCGATGTATGTCAATTATTTCTCAATAAAACTGGAGGAAAAGATGGCATATTTGAAAAGGAGAGTGAGGAGGAAAGGACTGAGGTGTGAAGACAGAAGAAGACAGTAGGAACAGGATCCCTGGAAAGGGAAGGATGGCAGGAGGAGGAAGGGCAGAGAGCAAATCCTAGACACTGCTCAGGGGCCTTGGTGGATGATGTGGTTCAGACATTAATAAAGAATAATCTGTGATAGAACAGCAGTGAGAGGGGCTCCCAACAAGCCCATCCTACCTCTTTTTCTTCACAGGAGTGGTAGTGGAGGTGGAAGCTGGGGTGTTGGTGGCGTTTGCACTGGACAAGCCTCCAGGTTGCCTGTTTTGTCACAAGAACAAACAGTGAGCACATTCCTGAAACTTTTCATTTTATCTCACCTTTGAAAGGACTTACCATCTACTCCTATTCCCACCACAAAATGTTTCACTTGAGGGTGAAAGAACAACATAAAAAGTTCTTCCTTAGTTAACCCATTTTACAAATCATCTGGCTTTCATTCAAATAATTAAATCAGAAGGAATTGAATGGAGAAGTCGTTCATTACATGACATGCTGTGTCTGAAACCCAGACCAATCAATTTCTATGTGCTATGGATTCCAACAAATATTTTAAAATCCTGTCTATGCTGTGACTCACAGAATTATATCACAATTTTTTTTTTGGATTAAATACATCAGCTTGTTTAAGAAAACATTTAAAAATCACACTGTTTTAAATCTGTGTGTGTGTGTGTGTGTTAGTTGCTCAGTCATGTCTGACTATGTGTGACCTCATGGACTGCAGCCTGCTAAGCTTCTCTGTCCATGGGATTCTCCAGGCAAGAATACTGGAGTAGGTTGTCATTCCCTTCTCCAGGGGATCTTCCTGACCCAGAGATCGAACCCAGGTCTCCTGCATTGCAGGCAGATTGTTTACTGTCTGAGCCACCAGCAGGGAAGCCAAATCTCTATTTAGCATTTGTTAATATATGCAGACCCTCAAAAAATTGAAGTGACTCAGGCCTGTTTCAACTATTGGAAGGCAGTCCAGGGTGAAAATTACTTTTATTGAAAGTACAAATTTAAAAATCAGCCAAGTTTTCAAAAATATATCTACTTTGCTTGCTTATAACCACCATTAGTACATTCCAGGGTTAGCAAAACCATGATTTCAAGACTCAGCTGAGCTGTAGATGTGATGGGTGTTTCGGGAGGCAAGTGAAATGTACAAGAAGAAAGGGCTGTCATAGGAGCAGGAAAAAATTTCACAGTTCTAATGGGCAAAGAAGTAAAGAATCTAGACTTTTAAAAAGAAAAGAAATAAAGAATGACGTAAGCTTCGGTGTTTGATTAGAGCAGAAGCTGGCAAACTTCTTGTGTTAAAGTCCACATGGAAAGTACTTTAAGTTTTGCCGACCACTTCAGTACTTCTATCAATACTATTCAACCTGTCAAAGCTGTGGGGGCATGGCTGTGTTACAATGAAACTTTGGCCTGAAGACAATATACCTTGATTTTTTCTTGGGCATATAGGAAGAAATACACTTTATTTTTTAAAATGTAAGATCAGTTAAAGAAGTACATACGTCTTTGTCACTTCTGGTGGTTGAAACATGGACACATTTCTGTTAAGAAAATGAGAAGGCAAAGTTTGAGCAGCAGCAAAGAATAAATTCTTGCATCAATTTGCAGTTGTCCCTGAATTTAGAGTTATTACTATTAAAAGTTAACGTTAGTTGTGAGAAAGAAAAAGAAAGTATCAGTAGTTGAATATATTTGAAAAGTTGATCTCGTGATTTTTCACCTTTTGTGTATTAGATTCCAAAAAAAGCTTTTTTTCTCTAGAAATTTCATTTTTTAAGCCCAGTGTTTTTCTTTGATGGGTTCAATAATTTTTTTACACTAAGAATGTAAAATTTACATTTACATGTATTTTATAATGTTGCCACCAGGATGATTTAAACAGAAACATAAATGTGGTAAGAATGATGGCCTGAAGTGATGAATTCTCTTCGTTTTGAAGCCAAGAATAAGATTTTATTTTTCTTTAACCATGAGGAGGAGCCAAGTTTTTATGCCAGAATTATTTCTGTTTAAAAAATAGAGGATAAGGGTTTACAGAAAGATAACAAGTAGGACTGAAGAACTGTAAGTAAGTAAGTAATGCTTAGAAAAATATTGTACTTGACCCTTTCCCCAAGTTAGTAGATACTGGTACCTATTGGTTAGTTGGTTATCCAGGGTATTGGCCTTATATATTTTAGCAGCATCATTTCTGTTTGCAATCCTTTATAAAGAAATAAGACAAAAGTCTGGATCAACATTTAGGTTTTTAAACTCCTCTTATACCTCTTTCATGCCAGAATCACTTCACAAAGTAACCTTTCTCTAGTGAAAACAATTGCTTTTCAGGTGTTACATCTTAGAAAATTTTACAATAAAAAGAACTATTACACTCACCACAAAATCTATTTATTAGGCCATTTTGATACAATTTGTAACTTTTAAAGTTAATGCTTTTCAGTTAGCCTTTCTGACTCATTGAGCATTTAATTCATTAACTATTTCCTTTTCATTATTGTTTAGTCATTTATCTACCCAATGACAGTACTTTCTATGTCACTAAAAGGAATCAATGGAAGACTTAAGAAATTTTTAAAGATGTTCTATGATATAGACAATGCTATATGTTTGTCAATCTCTTTGTTTTCCTTCTGAGCACACAGGAAGACTGCATATCCCAATCTTCAGTACATGTATATAGGGATCATGTAATTGAGTTCTAAAGAATGTGGACAGAAATATTATTCATGACTCCCAGAACCATCATAAAACCTATTGCATGATCTTCCATGCTCTTTCCTCCTCTTCTCCTGTAGTTTTGGTGTTCATGGGTTGAAGATGGCAGAATTAAAACATGGAAAGAACCTAGGACTCTGAGTCATTTCATGGAGCAGAGAGTTCCCCTAATTTTCTAGGATATCACTTTGAACTCTGCTGAGAGCAAGCAATAATCTTCTATTGGGCTAAAGCATGGAGATTCGGAGGCAGGGGAGAGAACTCGTCACAAGAATTGCTCTACCCTGGCGAATTTGTTTACATTGACTAACACATTGTGTTAATAGGCCCTGGGGACCATCAGAAGTGTAAAACATTCTAAACTTGGGTCTCCATAGGACAGTACGTCTGGGAAAAGTGTGTTTGTCTGTCTTTGGGGTCAGAAGACAAATTAGGAATCCTGTAGCCTGCATGCCAGTGGAGGGATCTCACAACTGCAACCTCTAGAAAAGCACATCAGAAAGAAAGCTTTTCCTGAGATGTGAGGCTGTCTTCTGGATTCTGCAGGCTTGCACAAAACTGTAACCCCACAGACGGCAGCCCACCAGGCTCCTCTGTACGTGGGATTCTCCAGGCAAGAATACTGGAGCGGGTTGTCATTCCCTTCCCCATGTTGCACAATACTAGCATGGGAAAAATTAGGTTCTGGAAAACAAAAGGTCAGCAAGAGTCTTCTGCTGACCTCACACTATGGGTCTCCTATTAATATAATTTTCTCTAAACTGTTATCTTTATCATTGATGTTATTTAAAAAAAAAGAAGCTATGGTGGTGAGTACATAGCATCTGTTTCTTTCTTTTTTTTTAGTATTTATATATTTATTTAGGCTGCATCGGGTCTAAGTTGCAGCACACAGGATCTTTCTTGTGTCAAGCGAGATCTTTCCTTGCAGTATGGTGGGCTTGGTAGTTTTGGTGAGGAGACTTAATTGCCACACCACATGTGGGATCTTAGTTCCCTGATCACGAATCGAACCTGCGGATTGCAAGGTGGATTCTTAACCACTGGACCACCAGGGAAGTCCCAGCATCCACTTTACTACAGGGCTTTATATAAACTGTTCCTGGGAAGATGGACAATAATCTTTCCTTGCTCTAAAAAAACTCATGATAGAAAAATATGGCTTATTTGTCCCAGCTTTAAAATGATTTCAATTCCTAGATGTCATTGTGACATGTATAACTAAAACATTTGGTAACTAACACTAATACATGAAAATTCCCCAAGTCAACCCCATATAATTTCTGTTTATGGTGCATAATGCTGATACCTTGAATGCAAACTGGTAACTCTTGAATTCAAAAAGGAAGGAACATTGAATCATCCAGAGCTCCATATTCTCAACTGACTGTTCACAATCCAGTTATTAACTTGCACAGAATGAATCCACATTTAAAACTCATGATGTGGAGAAGGAAAAGGTAACCCCCTCCAGTATTCTTGTCTGGGACATCCCATGGACAGAGTCTGGCAGGCTACAGTCCATGGGATTACAGAGTCAGACACAACTTAGCAACTAAACCACCACCATCTTCAAGGTATTAGTCATTTTTATATTCACTTGTTCGTTTAAAAATCTTGTAGTAGATAACAAAGTTCATCTTCCTAATGACTTGTAGGGTTTCTACAGTGATTAACAAGGTTTGGATGAAACAAATTAGTGTGTGGGGGGGGGCAATGGAATAAAACAGAATCACTTGTTATGCTTCCTGAAGGATTGAGTGTCTGTTATATGAGAAAATATCATATGATGGGGATAATGATCTTTGAGATTTTTTTTAAAGAGATGTCATATGTAAGGGGTCTAATGCTCATAATACCACCATTGAAATTGAAGCTCATAGAGAAGGTAAAAACAGAAAGCAAGTAAGTATGAGAATATGCTGGTATAAATTATTTGTAGTAAATGAGGAAGTAAACCTTCAGTGTATCTCTGAGACACTCCAGTGCTGCTGCTCACAGAGGGTGTTGGCACTTATGTTTGATGTGCTGTCCCTCTGGTCCTAGATGCCCTTTGTTAAAAGTGGGAAATAAGACGGAAAAATGTGTCTGGGTGGGAAAATGTATCTGGATCGAAATGTCACTCTGTTGATTTTTAAATTATAAATATATAACTTTTAAAAATAATTTAAAGGTATAAACAAATGATTAGTATTTAAGTTGATACAGCAGTGAAAAAAAAATTTGAGCCATCCTGTATTTTGGTTGTTGCTTTAATACAGGATTTGCACAGATGTGCAAAAAAAAAAAAAAAAAAAAAACCACATGAAGATCACTCAGGTGATCATTAGACCAAAGACTTCAAGTATATTCTCTGCACTAATTGCTACTGAGCCTCTGATATATTTATATTTAAAGGGCTTTGCAGTAAACCATGGTGAATACCATAAACATGATGTCTTGTAATCCTAAATTGTAAAACTTAAATGTTCCTTGCAAACTACTCAGACTTTAGAGCCATCTATGAGATCTTCATAGAAGATAAAAATAATTCTGGGAAATTGTTACTCTGGTACCCTGAAAATAACAATCTGTCTAAAGAAAACAGAACTTTAATTTCAAACACCTTCAAGGTTTAAATAAAGGAGAGTGTGATGTTAAAATTAAATGAAGTTAATCAAAATTCTACAGTGTTCATCTTTGTGGGCAATATAGCATGGAATAATCAAAATAGCTACCTACTACTCTTTGCAATTTTCTCTGCTCTTCAGAACATCTCTACAAGGTAGACGTAATTATTTTCATTTTATAGATGAATAAATAGAGTCTCAGAGAATGTGAGTGGCTTTCTCTTGGTCATACAACCAGGAAGCAGTCTGTCTCCGAAGTCTTTCCAGTAGGGCCCACGGTCATCCACCTGGTTCTGTACTCTAATTGTTGCAACACTCATGAGCAACATGTCTTTCTTCAGTTATTATTTTTCACCTCCACTATCTCTTTCACAACACTAGGGGGTTCAGTATATAAATAATATATAAATAATTATGTATATGTAAATAATAATTTATATAAATAATATAAATCATAATGGACAGAACCATCATTCCAATGTATTCGTCAATTTAACCATCATTCTTTGTTCATCAACTTCTCACTTCTTAGGGAGATTAACTTGGTACTTCCCTTAGAAATGAAGCTTCTATCAACTTGTGATATCAGATAGATTGTTTTAATAGGAGTCAGTCTTGGAGACAGGAAATACTTAAATATAATCAGCAACATGATCAAAAGTACCAAAAGAAAACTTACACTTCCACAACATAACACTAGAGGTCTCCCTAACCTAGGTTTTTCCAAATTTCTTATGACCCAATCTTCAGGGTTTGAGCCATATTGAATGCTACGGTATACTCTTGATTACCTAGGTTTCTTTAGAACACTTCACATTTTTACCAACAGATATATATTTTAAAAGGGAACTCTTTAAAGGTAACTCACTACTTTTCTCATATTTATTTATTACACACATTAGTACTAAAATGGCACCCCCATGCACACTCCTAATATATTTGATCATCCTCCTCCTAAAATTACTTCATGTCTTACACTTGGAGTGCCCTGCATGATGGGGTCTGACTCCTGTTACCAGGACTTGCCTTTCTTTACCTCGTCTGTGTTCTCTCCCTCACACCTGTGTCCACACTTGGAGAGATGAATGCAGTTCACTGCTGGGGGTGAGCTGCAGATAGGACTGCCTGGGGAAGTAGCTCATCTTCCAAACATGCACTGCTAATCCTCTGTATAGATAAAGCAAGAAATCTCTGGCTTCATTTTCTAGGTTTTAAAATGAAGGGTTTGGACTGGTTTGGTGGTTTGGAATTTTGGCTGCTCATCAGAATCACGTCATAAACTTTAAAAGATGCCCAAGTATCCCTCAGACTAATTAGATTAGGATTTAGGGAAGAAGAGCTGTTGGAACCAAATTATTAGTGCAGTCAAAAATCTCTCTAGGTGATTTGGCTCCCCTGGTGGCTCAGATGGTAAAGAATCTGCCTGCAGTGCTGGAGACCCAGGTTCAATCCCTGGGTTGGGAAGATACCCTGGAGAAGGGAATGGCTACCCACGCCAATATTCTTGCCTAGAGAACCCCATGAACAGAGGAGCCTGGTGGGCTATAGTCCATGGGGTAGTAAAGAGACAAGACTAAGACACTGACATCTTCACTTTCTAGGTGATTCTAATCTGCTGCTGCGGTTGAGAATAACTAACTGACTTGACTGTGAGGTTTGGTCTAGTTCACTGCTGATGTTCTAAGGCTCCATCTTGATATAGACGTTCAGACACACAGTCTGTAAAGGCTTAGGTCTCCCACATATTTACCTTTCTTGAGATATAATTATCTCACTGTAAATTCATCCCTAGAAGTAGGGTTTCCTGCTTCAATTAATAGAGCACTAGGACAGCCCACAAAGCCAACATGAACAGACAGAAGCACTGTGACTCCTCTCTCACTCGGAGCTGTGGAGATGAGATCCTGGGCATATACTTTCACAAACTGACTCTTGTCGAGGTTGTTAATTACAAGAGAGATGTCACTATTAGGGAGATTGACTTAAAAGGCTATAAAGAGTGCAGAAGTGCATGCATTAACTGACATTGGCCTGGTCTGAATATGGAATCTACTAGATGCCATAAGTTTCGGTGTATGTGCTGCAAGGGCAGCCAGTTGCATGTTTGTTTCCAAAGATAGAACATCTTTACCTTACAGGGGTGTGGTTTTGACTATTGATGGCCTCAGACATTCACTATGTCTAGACTCCAAATGAAGATATTAACCTTGTTCTTTATCTATGCTTAATAAACGCTTCTGTACTCAGCTACTAAGTTGTGTCTGACTCCATGCGACCCCATAGACTGTAGCCCACCAGTCTCATGTCCCTGGAATTCTCTAGGCAAGAATACTGGTGTGGGTTGCCATGCCCTTCTCCAGGTGATCTTCCCCACCCAGGCATTGCACCCAAGTCTCCTGCATCTCCTATATTGGCAGGCAGATTCTTTACCACTGAGCCACCTAGGAAGCACCTCTACCAGATATAAAATTTAAATGTGACCTGTAGCATTTACACTTCAACCTGAATAGATATTCCTTGGTTTTCTATTTATGAGCCCTTCCTTTCCTTCCATTAGGAGTGAGCCAACAACAGTGACTCATGTATAGCCATGTGGTGACTCCATGGCCAAAAGAGCAGTTTTACTTTCTAGAGTAAAGAGCTAATGTCTTTATCCTAGAGTGAATCAAAACTACTGTGTTATTAAAATGTATAGTCTCTCCATAAGACAGTTAAAACAAAACTGCTGTTTCTCTGCCTCTGGAATGGAAAAACAGAAGTTAGAACAAGAATTGGTGACTCACACAAAAAAAACTATATCCTCTTTTTAAAATTAAGCAGATAACATTCAGTGCCAGTCCCATCTATACTCAAATCAGTTCCTTTAGAATTTTTCCTATTGATGTACTATCAATTAGTACAAAAAATAAAAACTAGCAAGATTTTAGGAAAATAGCAAGTCAAGATTTTGTGAGTTTTGAAGAAGATAATTCCATCTTCATAGCCCTCATGTTGCTGGGGATAAAATATCATGGTTTGAAGCTCACTTTGGTAAACATTTAGCTGCCTCATGCCTCATAAAAAATGGGATTTAACGTATGTTATGCATTCCACTTGCTGGTTCAAAACACCTTACCTGTCCAAAGTGTCATCAGATCTGTACCGACTGATTGTGGCTTTTGGCTCTTCCCTCTCATTTGCTTTCCTGTAGCAAAAAATAATTATAGGAAGATCAAATAAATTATAAAAAATAGTTTACACAACTTCCACAGATTTGGTAAAATGTTGGCCTGTTGGGGTTGGAGATATATATGTTTTTACCAAGAAAAGACATATTTGGAGTACCAAAATTGTCCCAGGCTTTGACCTGACTAGGATAAATTAGCAAACCCAATTCCCCATGCTAATAAAAGAATTCTTCTTTAGATCCAATTAATCTAATTACAATGTAACATTCAAATCAAGGATAAGGATATGTGAAACAAGCAACACACATGCAAAAGAATTAATTACTCATATGTACCACTTTCAGGGTTGTTGTTGATTTTTATGTAATAGGAACTCAATCCCTTATCATCCGCTCGGTTGTGTTTACAGCTTCATCAGAGCCTTACGCCAGCACAACGGCTACATGCCAATCAGTCTATTACGAGTTCAGCACCGTGGACAGGGTTGAAAGAAGAGGACTTGCTGGAAGAAAGAGGGAGCAAGAGAGAAGGAAAGAGAGAAACAGGAAACATAGGAAGAAAATGAACAGAGGAAAGTAGTAGAAGAGAGAAAGTACGGATGGGAAGAAGAGAAGAGGGGGGAGCCTGGGAGAAGTAGGGAGAGGAGAGACAGCGGCAGAGAGCTGAGACAGACGGATAATTTGAAAAAGAGGGAGCAGAGAGAAGACAAGAAAATTATAGAAGGAACCATGATCATCAAAGCACTGGAGATAGCTTGATCAGACTGATCAATCAGCAAGAAAAGCCTGTTCAATGTCTTAACCCTGTGATACAGGGAAAGTAAGCTCTTTGGAGAATTCTACCATGGTTGACTATATTTGCATTTCAAAGCATCATTTGAAGCTGACAGTTCAAAGGTACTGAATCAGAAAATGTACCAAAACAGTATACTATTTAAGATGCAATTTTTAACTTGATGTAGTGTATCTTTATTTAGCAAATATTTGCAGGTAAACCATATACTGTACTGATGACAGTATATTATCAGCAGTATATCATCAGCTGAGGAATGAGTTATGAATTAACTATAGACCCTGAACACACAGAGCTAGAGGGACAAGTAAGGCATGTACATCCAAGCATAGAAAGCAGTCAGTATCAGAAAAGAGGTTCAGGTCAAGTACAAGGGAGTTTGAAGCTGAGAAAGCTTGTTTGGAGAGGTGGGGATCAGAGAAGGCTTCCTGGATGAGATACACATTGAGCTGGGACTTGGAGGATAAACAGACACGAATGAACAGAGATAGAGGGAATTGTGTTTGTTAAGGAAAGACTAATGTTTATAACAAATGGCTAATGCAATCTCTCGTGCTTTTAAGGAAACTCAGAGTGAGGTCATAGTGAGACTCATCAGCAGGTGTAATGCATGGGTGCAGATGGAACTGACCCCCATCCAGGAAATAGCCCCTCACAGATGCCATAGCTTTGTCTCATTAGCTGCTTTATTCTTCCAGGTACTTATCACCACAGGACATACCACACTGTGTTCATTTACATTCAATCTTTCCCTCCTCTACCTTTAACCAGGAAGGTTCCCTGATTGCTCAGCCGGTAAAGAATCCACCTGCAATGCAGGAGACCCCGGTTCGATTCCTGGGTCAGGAGATCCGCTGGAGAAGGGTAGGCTACCCACCCCAGTATTCTTGGATTTCTCTGGTGGCTCAGCTTGTAAAGAATCTGCCTGAAAATGTGGGAGACCCGGTTCTATCTCGATCCCTGGGTTTGGAAGACCCCCTGGAGAAGGGAAAGGCTACCCACTCCAGTATTCTGGCCTGGAGAATTCCATGGACTGTACAGTCCATGGGGTCACAAAGACTTGGATACAACTGAGCGACTTTCACTTGAATCACCTGGAGTTTTATGGAAGCAAGGGTTTTGTTTTGTTTCCAGACTGCAGAATATTGTCTGGCTCCGAAGGTCATCTCCACTAGTACTATTTGTTGTGCTTTCTGCCTCCTTCAACACATGTTACTGATCTCACAGAGAAAGGACACAGTAAAATATCCTGTTGTTTGTGCATCCTATGAAGCTTGTCTTCTAGCATGATGAGACTATTCATTTTCCTTTATTTTCAGTCTCTGCTCACGTGGAACTCTTGGGCATGCTATCGCTTCTGCTGGAATGCCTCTTTCCCAGCCACTCGCCCACCAGCTACTTTTTCCTACTTGGAAACATCTTCCATCCTTCAAACAGCAACACCAATGAGCACTTCCTCAGGGAGCGCTCCCACTCTTTCAGCCAGAGTTACCCTCTGCTTCTTCCCATTGCATGGCCCAGACTTTTACAAGCACTTTCCATGGTAAATCTGAGTATTTGTGTCTATGGATCCATCTTTTTCCATGAAATATGAGAGTGCCTTAAGATTGCAGCTGGTGTCTGATGCATCTTTGTATTCCCAGCACCTGGCACAGTGTCAGCACACAGTAGGTGCTTCAAAGTGGCGTTGGGTGAACACCAAAGTGGACACAACCTCTGCAGAAGGATGGAAAAGTGTCATACAGACATCTGTGTGAGCAAATGCAAGGAGAAAGATAACCAATACTACCTTTTATAAAGATGTCATTTGAGATACTAGTCAAGGAGTCCGGGGGAAACGTCTCAGGCTTATAGATTTTTCATAGTGAAGATAAAACAGTTAAATGTGCTGCTTTAGCCAGAATGTTGTCCATCTTGAAACATATTAAGAACACGAATCTTAGTTTTCCTGATCATGCCTCACAACAAGTTCGCTCTTTAATAGTTCCAGAGAAGGGCAAATACAATGGAGGGTGCGTTTTCCACTAGTGCCTGGATTCAAGTTATCAGGTTCCCTTTGTTTGGTAAGAGAGGGCCAACAGAGAACAAGAACACAAGCTTCAAAATCATGAAGACTCAGGACAGGTCACAGGACAGTCAGCTAAATCACAGAACAGTCAAACAGAAGAACTAAAGCTGGGAACCCAAAAACCAATGGGATACTTCATGTAGAGGGGGGTAAACTCAGGACCCTTCAGCTCAGTTCAGTCGCTCAGTCATGTCCGACTCTGCGACCCCATGAATTGCAGCACACCAGGCCTCCCTGTCCATCACCAACTCCCGGAGTTTACTCAAACTCCTGCCCATCAAGTCGGTGATGCCATCCAGCCATCTCATCCTCTGTCATCCCCTTCTCTTCCTGCCCCCATTCCCTCCCAGCATCAGGGTCTTTTCCAATGAGTCAACTCTTCACATGAGGTGGCCAAAGTATTGGAGTTTCAGCTTCAACATTAGTCCTTCCAATGAACACCGAGGACTGATCTCCTTTAGGATGGACTGGTTGTATCTCCTTGCAGTCCAAGAGACTCTCAAGAGTCTTCTCCAACACCACAGTTCAAAAGCATCAATTTTTCAGTGCTCAGCTTTCTTCACAGTCCAACTCTCACATCCATACATGACCACTGGAAAAACCATAGCCTTGACAAGACGGACCTTTGTTGGCAATTAGAACATGTTAAAATTCTGAACATTTTTTAAATGGTTTAAAAAATCCACAGACAAAAATTCCAAAATAGACATGTTCAAAGTGTCCACTTAACTTTTTTTAAATTAATTTTTATTTGAGTATAGTTACTTGGGGGCTTCCCAGGTGGTTCAGTAGTAAAGAATCCACCTGCCAATGTAGGTGACATGGGTTTGATCCCTGAGTCAGAAAGATCCCCTGGAGAATGAAATAGCAACTCACTCCAGTATTTTGGCCTGGAGAATTCCATGGACAGAAAAGCCTGGTGGACTACAGTCCATGGGGGTCACAAAAGAGTTGTATACAACTTAGCAACTAAACAACAACAGTTACTTTACAATGTCTACTTATCTTTTTAAAGCCCCACCATGAAAAACAATCATTGTCCTTTACTCAGTATGTCTTGGTGGTAGACACTGGCTATTGAACAAAATAAAACTTTTGTCTGAGAAATAACTAGGTTCTTCTGCTGGGTGTGGTTGTTTGTATGTGTGTTAATGTCAATGTGCTTTAGTAAGAATATTGTTTATTCATTTTATCAATCTTAAGTTATTTACATCATTGTGACTATGAGTTTTGCTTAAATTTTTCTACTAATTTGCATTTGTCTGGCCACTGGTCACTGAGTATCATTTAGTGATTTTCCACATGCCTAAGAGTTTCTGAAAAGAAATGTTTTCAGTCGCTAAATCATGTCCAACTCTTTGAGACCCTATAGACTGCAACACACTGGGCTTCTCTGTCCTTCACTATCTCCTGGAGTTTGCTCAAACTTATGTCCATTGAGTCAGTGATGCCATCCAACCAACTCATCCTCTACTGCCTCCTTCTCTTCCTACCCTCAATCTTTCCCAGCATCAAGTATTTTTCCCATGAGTCAGTTCTTCATATCGGGTGGCCAAAGTATTGGAGTTTCAGCTTCAGCATCAGTCCTTCCAATGAATATTCAGGACTAATTTCCTTTAGGATTGACTGGTTTGGTCTCCTTGCTGTCCAAGGGACTCTCAAGGGTCTTCTCCAGCACCACAATTCAAAAGCATCGATTCTTCAGCACTCAGCCTTCTTTATGGGCCAACTCTCACATCCATACATGACTACTGGAAAAATCACAGCTTTGACTCTATGGACCCAGTTGGCAAAGTGATGTCTCTACTTTTTAATATGCTGTGTAGGTTTGTCAGAGCTTTCCTTCCAAGTAGCAAGTGTCTTTTAATTTCATGCCTGCAGTCACGATCCACAGAAAAGAAACATACTGTCCTATAAAGCAAGTGAACTCAGCTGTTATTTCTCTTTTAGGGTTCCTTTCTCTAAGGCTCGGAAGTATCTTATCTCATCATGTTTCTGTGGAAGCCCCTGCTCTTACCTGTCAGGAAGGCCACCTTGGTAAGGGGGGCAGTGGATTGATGATTCTACACCTCCAAGCTGTATTTTAGGAGCATAAAGCTGGAGAAGCACAGTTTGCTTTGTGAAAATTCCTGATGTTATCAGATTCTCCTTCATGTGCCCAGAACGTCAGGAAAGCTTGTGGCTAGGCACCAGTATTCAACCTTAAACAAGTCTACTCTCAGAAACAACTGTCTTTGTGTTTCTGCTAATGATGTAACTTGTCTGAAACACCTACCTGTCCAAGGCATCATGGGAATTATGTCTGTGGAGCACCGCCCTACCGTAATTTTCATCTCTGCAGAGAAAGAACAAAATTAAGTCACATGAAAAGTCCTCAGTCTTTAGTAAGCATTAAATAAGGCAGACGGGAAAGAGCTCGCAATGCTTGGCAAAGTTAATTCATTTTACTTCAGGCGTAAGAATACAACTATGCATTTATTTTAACCAGTCACCACTTGAAAGAACACGGTGAAAAGAAATAAGTATGAGAGTACAAACAACCATTATTCTGATTTATCCCATGAGATTTCCAGGTGATTCCACAACAGAATGAGTGTTTGCTCTTTGGTTTTTTGGTTTTGGTTTCTTTCATCAGAGTGTGGGAATGCTCAGCCAACTACTTTGTATATATTAGAAGCATGCTGTTAGAAAGTGTTCTAGTTTCATTCTTTCACAAGTGGTTGACCAGTTTTCCCAGCACCACTTGTTAAAGAGGTTGTCTTTTTTCCATTGTATATTCTTGCCTCCTTTGTCGAAGATGAGGTGTCCATAGGTACATGGATTTATCTCTGAGCTTTCTATTTTGTTCCATTGACCTATATTTCTGTCTTTGTGCCAGTACCATACTGTCTTGATGACTGTGGCTTTGTAGTAGAGCCTGAAGTCAGGCAGGTTGATTCCTCCAGTTCCATTCTTCTTTCTCAAGATTACTTTGGCTATTCAAGTTTTTTTGTATTTCCATACAAATTGTGAAATTATTTGTTCTAGTTCTGTGAAAAATACCGTTGGTAGCTTGATAGGGATTGCATTGAATCTATAGATTGCTTTGGGTGGTATACTCATTTTCACAATATTGATTCTTCCAATCCATAACATGGTATATTTCTCCATCTGTTTGTGTCCTCTTTGATTTCTTTCATCAGTGTTTTATAGTTTTCTATGTATAGGTCTTTTGTTTCTTTAGGTAGATATACTCCTAAGTATTTTATTCTTTTTGTTGCAATAGTGAATGGTATTGTTTCCTTAATTTCTCTTTCTGTTTTCTCTTTGTTAGTGTATAGGAATGCAAGGGATTTCTGTGTGTTAATTTTATATCCTGAAACTTTACTATATTCATTGATTAGCTCTAGTAATTTTCTGGTAGAGTCTTTAGGGTTTTCTATGTAGAGGATCATGTCATCTGCAAACAGTGATAGTTCTACTTCTTCTTTTCCTATCTGGATTCCTTTTATTTCTTTTTCTGCTCTGATTGCTGTGCCCAAAACTTCCAAACCTATGTTGAATAGTAGTGGTGAGATTGGGCACCCTTGTCTAGCTCCTGATTTCAGGGGAAATGCTTTCAATTTTTCACCATTGAGGATAATGTTTGCTGTGGGTTTGTCATATACAGCTTTTATTACATTGAGGTGTGTTCCTTCCATTCCTGCTTTCTGGAGAGTTTTAATCATAAATGGATGTTGAATTTTGTCAAAGGCTTTTTCTGCATCTATTGAGATAATCATATGGTTTTTATCTTTCAATTTGTTAATGTGGTACATTACATTGATTGATTTGCTGATATTAAAGAATCCTTGCATTCTTGGGATAAAGCCTACTTGGTCATGATGTATTATCTTTTTAACATTTCTCCAAAGAAAACATACAGATGGCTAACAAACATATGAAAAGATGCTCAACATCACTCATTATCAGAGAAATGCAAATCAAAACCTCAATGAGGTACCATTACATGCCAGTCAGGATGGCTGCTATTCAAAAGTCTATAAGCAATAAATGCTGGAGAGGGTGTGGAGAAAAGGGAACCCTCTTACACTGTTGGTGGGAACGCAAACTAGTACAGCCACTATGGAGAACAGTGTGGAGATTCCTTAAAAAACTGGAAATAGAACTGCCATATGACCCAGCAATCCCACTCCTGGCCATACACACCGAGGAAACCAGATCTGAAAGAGACACGTGTACCCCAATGTTCATTGCAGCACTGTTTATAATTGCCAGGACATGGAAGCAACCTAGATGCCCATCAGCAGATGAATGGATAAGGAAGCTGTGGTACATATACACCATGGAATATTACTCAGCCATTAAAAAGAATTCATTTGAATCAGTTCTAATGAGATGGATGAAACTGGAGCCCATTATACAGAGTGAAGTAAGCCAGAAAGATAAACACCAATACAGTATACTAATGCATATATATGGAATTTAAAGAGATAGTAACGATAACCCTATACGCAAAACAGAAAAAGAGACACAGATGTACAGAACAGACTTTTAGACTCTATGGGAGAAGGTGAGGGTGGGATGTTCTGAGAGAATAGCATTGAAACAAGTATACTATCGAGGGTGAAACAGACCACCAGCCTAGCTTGGATGCATGAGACAAGTGCTCAGGGCTGGTGCACTGGGAAGACCCAGAGGGATGGGATGGAGTGGGAGGTGGGAAGGGGGATTGGGATGGGGAACACATGTAAATCCATGGCTGATTCATGTCAATGTATGGCAAAAACCACTACAATATTGTAAAGTAATTAGCCTTCAAATAATAAAAATAAATGGAAAAAAAAAAGAAGCATGCTTTTCTGCAGGAAGGCAAACGTTTTTTCAAACATCTTTTAAATTTAATTAAGTCTGTTATGTCTGAAATTTTTCCACTTGATGACTTTGATAGTTTTTCTTGACAAAGTGTAGGAAAATACATACCAGTATTTGTGGTTAAGAAGGTTGATTGTTCACAGATTTAGCCTATTTTTGAACCATGAGATTGTATAGTGTGCTCTGCTTGGTCCTTAAAATACCCTATAAATTAGGCAAGGGAGACACTCATCCAATTCACAGATGAGAAAATTGCTCAGGGAGTCTGTGGCTTTCCTAAAGCTAAAATATTAGCAAGTAACAAGGGTGGGTTTAGGACCCAGATCTCTATATTCCAAACTTTTGCTTTTCCTACTGGTCAATCATGCAATAGGCCTTCATACATAAAATCCTAAAGTTATATTTTTCTTACTTTGTACAGTGGACCTGAAAGTACAGGCAGTGTTCTGTGTGTATGTGCTAGGTTGCTTCAGTCATGTCTGACTCTTTGCAACCCCATGGACTACAGCCTGCCAGGTTCCTCTGTCCATGGGATTCTCCAGGCAAGAATACTGGAATGGGTTGCCATGCCCTCATCCAGGGGACCTCCCAAACCCAGGGATTGACTCTGCATCTCTTATGTCTCCAGCATTGGCAGGGAGGTTCTTTACCACTAGAGCCACCTGGAAGCCCACAGGCAATGTTAGGAAATGTCAAAACATGTAGTAAAGACTTTGGCCTTGAGCCAAGGCAGAGAGTAAGCATCTGAACCTTTTAATGTGAACCCAACCAAACCTGAAATATCACATTCCTCCTGGTTCTGCTCCACTAATGTTACTCAACACTCTGGAACCACTGACAATAAAGCTATAAAAGAACTGTAGTAGATAATTAAAAAGAAAGATGAACAGTGAAACTGAAACAATTCCAGCGAATATACACCCTCAGAGATCCCAAAAGAACCCTCCAGATAGCAGCAGACAACAGACGCACTTTTTGCCTGAAGAAAAATCCTAGCAAGGAGCCCAGCACCAGGCCAGCGAGTGTCAGGGAAGCACCAGAGCCAATTTCCCCTTCACTGAGAAGCTGTCACACCATCCAAGCTTCCCTAGGCCTTATAAAGGAAGTGTATCTGGCATAAAACCATCGCTCCTACCGACTGTAAATTGTCTTAGACATCACTATCTCCCCACATCTGTGCAAATACTTGCAGCGCCAAATTCACCTTTGATATCCCTCTGTCACTTTGGAAAAATAGAAATGTCATAATAGGTTTCAAGAGAAGCAGTAAATGTCACTTTATAGAAGGAAATGATTTTCATCCAAGAGTGTTAACTCCAAAACTTAGTGTGTGGAACTGATTGTTGTCTAAGAGTGCTACCTCCGAAACTTAGTGTATCTCCAAATACCCCTATAGTTCCTTAACATAATAGAATTTAAGAGACATTTTTGTTCACCAATTACAACCATGCAGAGACAGTTTAGTAGAAAACTTGGAGTAAGTATCCTGTAATGCAGGGCTTCCCAACTTCATATTACGGGTTTGATCATTTTTTGTTGTGAGTAGTATCCTGTGCATTGTATTAATAGGTTGTTTAGTGGCATTCCTAGTCTTTACTGACTAGATGTCAGGAGTACCGTGTCCCCAGTTTTGACATCTATAAATGTCTCCTGACCTTGTCAAACATCCCCTGGGAGCAAAATTGTCCCTGACTGAGATCCACTGGTGTAACGGAAAGACAATGGGTCATGTTACTCTCAGCTCTACCACTTAATAGCTGTGTGCTCTTGGACAAGTTACCTAACTTCTCTGAGCCTCAGACTCCTCTCTGCAAAATGAGAATGTAATACCTACCTTGTAGGAAGGTTGTGAGATTTTGTGATGCTTTATATGTAAAGTACTTAGCATCTAACTTGACATGTAAGAGGGAATCAAAGAACATATGCATATGCATGTATATGCATATATATACACATATACATATACATACATATACACACACACACACATGTGTATATATATATATATATATGGGCTTCCCTGGTAGCTCAACTAGTAAAGGATCTGTCTTCAATGCAGGAGATGCCGGTTCAATCCTGGGTCAGGAAGCTCCCCTGGAGAAGAGATAGGCTACCCACTCCAGTATTCTTGGGCTTCCCTGGTGACTCAGATGGTAAAGAATCTGCCTGCAATGTGAGAGACCTGGGTTCGATCCCTGGGTTGGAAAGATCCCTTGGAGGAGGGCATAGCAACCCACTCCAGTATTCTTGCCTGGAGAGTCCCCATGGACAGAGGAGCCTGGCGGGTTACAGACCATGGAGTTGGAGAATCGGACACAACTGAGTGACTAAGGACACACACATGTATGTGTGTGTGTGTGTGTATATATAAACAATTTATAATAAATATATCTGGGTTGGACAAATATCTATTATAAATCTGTGCTGGCAATGAGGCAATATGTTTAGGGACATGGTCTTCAAACCTTTAAACATATAGCTGATAGACATAATGTTTAAAACAGACAATACTTTCTTGGTGGTAAATGTCTTCACTCATGAAGTGACAGTGCATTTAGCACCTTCCTGGACCTAGAGGTATATAGCCAGCGAGAACTAAAATGAGCCAATAATTTATCTGTTTCACTTGCTCATAAGGAAATTTCAGATCAATTATTATTAAATTTGTAAATTTAGAATCATACTTCTGTTTGTTTCAACTGAAATGATCAGTATGTACCAGGAATATCCCCACCATGGACTAAATATTACCTTTTTGGAAACTGGAATGTCTTTTTTTTCTCATGTTATCAATGTCTACGCTACTCATAACAATGAAATTCTGCTTTCTCTCACTCACAACTCATGTTCTTTTAGGTATGTGGATATTTAAGATGGTAGCAATATTGTTAAAAATCTGATATAGTCAATGTATGCTAACTAAATCTTACCAAAAATGAGGTCAAGCAACAAAGTGCTTTAGAAAAAAAAAAGCATCCACTTTCAGTTGGCCATTAGTTTCCCAAATGGAGAATAGCTCTTTCTTCCCACCTCTCCCCCCCCCCCCCATACCCTCTTACCTTTCTTCTTCAGGGCGTTTCTTTATCCAGCTATTATCCTGTAAGAAAGTCCTTCTTTTGTTGACCTCTTGGAAACCCTGTTGCCTCAGTGTGGTCCCCTGCGTGGTGGTCCTCATATCTAACAACAGAAAAATGAAACCTGAAGAGATACAGTGCCATGGAATTGAGTGTGTGTTTGCTAACTTGGAAATCTTGAGAGGCACATCCGATGGTCCAGCCTCCATCTTCTAGGCTGGAACCTCCCATACTGTTTCAAAGTAGGATGCACTGGCAAGAAAGAACAAATCCCACACCTATCATCAAAGATAACATAACATATAAGACTGCTCGGGTGCCAACTGAAACTACCTGTGCACGTTATGAAGCCCTGCCCTGCAGCTGGGAATGTAGAACCACAGGCCTCAGCTAAATCAATACTGGGTTTAGTGGATAGGCCATTTTGCTCAGAAAGAAATATGACTTGGAAGGACACACAAGACTGTTTTGGAAGTACTTATTACTTGTTATTGAGTATAAATAATACTCAATAAATCTTAGTGCTTCTGATTACAAATAAAGTGATTCTTTGATCTTATGGGAGTCAGAAGTACAGAAGGTCACCTATACTTGATTTTTAAAAGAAATCTTTGAATTGCAATTAGATGAGTTAAGTCTACAGCGCTCTTTTATTTTAAGCCCAACTTTGGCCATGTTAATTAAATTAGACTGCTGCTTCTAAGCATTTCATAGCTACATGAAAAAATTAGGAACTATGAATTGTTTTCCCCAGATGTTTAAGTTTTCTGAGTAAGGGAAACACCATCTACATTACCGTTTCCTGTGGGAGATGTTTTTCTTAAGGTGAAATTGGACATGCTGCCTTCCAGTTAGGACCTAAAAGAAAAATGGGGATGGGGAAAAAAACACGACAATGACTTAACAGAGAATCAACAAGGGGCTCGTTCATTGCTAGTTAGACACATTCTTCAATGACACGGACAGTCCCATAACCTGGTATAACAAATACATGATATAAACTGTCTCCTGAGAACATGAGAGTTCGTCTATTCCAATCTATTTATTTTACAGATGAATATACTGAAGTCTGGAGTATTTAGTGCCCCCTATGTTACAGGACAAGCAATTGACTGAATGAGCCCATCAGTCAATTCATTTATTCAATGACTAAATATGCATTGAGAGCCTGGCACTGAACCAGGAGGTGGAGACAAGAAAGATAATATGACAAGTGTCTGTTCTGGGGCCCTACAGGTATTGTGAGTCCCAGGTGTGGCCTTTCTGCTTAACAGAGAAGACAGCCCTGAATTTCCACAAATGTGGGGCTCTCAGTTTTTAAACTGGAAAAGTCCTGGGCCAATAGTGATGACTTGGTCACCCTCGGTGGGGCGTTACGTTTTTTGCAGAGTCCATCCCGCCAAATGGTGTACAGAATGTGGGAGGGGTCCTCCATCTTGAGTCAGAAGCAAGTCCTAGGCCCAGCTTCATGACATCAAAGTTCTGAACTACTTAATCTCCCTGTAAAATGGGCTAAAGAAACCCGCTACCTACTTCATAAGGTTGTGATGATCATCTGAACAAGGTACACAAAAATCACCTTGTCAAACTATAAATGAGTTGAGACTTACAGTTGCATCATCAGACAGCAGTTTACAGGTTTAATGTGGGGGTTATAAAGCCCCTATCTCCCACCCTCTGGTTCAAATGTATCTCCTACAATAACTGGCTATAGGACTTGAAGAGGTAAAGACACATTTTCTGGATCAAGGCACTGTTTCCCTGGTGTCTTCATTTAGAATATCAGTGCCCCAAGAGTGGGTGAGAATTGGAAGCTGCTGGTGACTTTACTGGCCTAGTGTTTGGCACTATAGGCTCACAGCTTCATCTCTTCTGGGAAATTGCCCTTGGCTCATGGGGCTACCAATTATACACCTTCATCCACTACACCAACAGCCAGCAGCTGACTACCCTGGAACGCAGAGCCACTTCTGCAGGCAACTGGAGCTTCAGCCTTCACCATGGCAGATGTTAGGCCAGCAGGGGGTGCATCACTGCCCAGCTCATTCCCCTGCCTCCCCAACCCTCCCGCCTCTTCCCTTTCTCCTCCTCTTGGGCACATATCCTTCATAAATCACAGGCACCCAAGGGCCTCTCAGGCACTGCTTCGAGGGGACCCAACCTCAGACTAACAACCAGGATAAGACTGGCAGCTATTCACTCCGCAGAGAGTCTGAAGGTCTCAGTGAAATTAGAAAGTGAAAGGGAAAGGGAAGTCACGTCCGACACTTGGCAACCCCACGGACTGTAGCCTACTAGGCTACTCGGTCCATGGGATTTTCCAGGCAAGAATACTGGAGTGGGTTGCCATTTCCTTCTCCAGGGGATCTTCCCGACCCAGGGATCGAACCGGGGTCTCCCACATTGTAGGCAGACGCTTTACTGTCTGAGCTACCAGTTGTTGCTAACTCCTGTCCGACTCTTTTGTGACCCCGTGGACTGTGGCCTGCCAGGCTCTTCTGTCCATGGGATTCTCCAAGCAAGAATACTGGAGTGGATTGCTATTTCTTTTGCCTGGGGTTTTTCCCAACCCAGGGGGCAACTCGTGTCTCCTGTTTGGCAGATGGATTCTTTACCACCTCGCCATCAGGGAATTAAAAAGACCTGCATCTAAGGTGTGCTATTTACTGTGTCACTTTGGGGATGATATTTATAGTTCAGCTCCCTTATGTGTAAAATGAGATGAACTGTGGTTGTTTTGAGGGTCAGATTTGATGACATGTCTGTCAAGATGATGACACAGGTTTCCATCACCTCGGAAAGCATAAAGCAAAGACATAGAGAAGGTGTGGTTGGGTGTGGGGAGGAGGTGAACAGCCTGGGTCACTGGGTGATGGACATGCAAGGGGTGTAGAGCAGACCCTGTCTCATGTATGTGGAGGACCCTCAAATTTGGAAGAAAGGGGAGGAAAAAGGGCTTGGCAAACTTCAGTCTCAACCACTTGTTCACTTCACCTCAGTCTGGCCTCACTTCTCTGGGCTCTTGGCTAACCAACTATCTGTTTCTAAATGGGCTCTGATAAACCTTTCCCTGAGCCACCTAAGACCTGAAGGGCTCGTAGCCAACTGAATTGGGATTCTGACATGGGCAGAATGCTGAATGTACAGCTGGTAATGTATTTGCAGAGATTGCAAACTCAACCATGAAATACAGGCCAGGGTCAACAGAGAAAAGGCATTTGGCAATTAACTGCTTATTTGTCTCTCACAAAAGACAGAGTGTCCTGTAAGTCAGACCCAAGACTGTGTCTTCTCATTTCCAGCCTGTGGGACAGAGTGGATTCCCCCTCGATGCTTACGATGCACTGAGTTAGGTCCCTTTCAACATTTCTAACACCCCAGTGTCTCAGGATGTGTCTGTATTTGGAGGCAGGGCTTTTAAAGAAGTGATTACATTAAAATGAGGCCATTAGGGTGAGGCCTAATCCAACCTCTCCTTTGACCTCACAGGAAGAGGAATTTGGACACACAGAGACATCTTTTCTCTGTGTCTGCACAGAGAAAAGGGTGTGAGAGGATGCAGACAGAAAGGTGGCCATCCTGAAACTGAGAAGGGAGGCCTTAGGAGAAACCAAAACTGAGGACACCTTGATCTTAGACTTCCAACCTCCAGAACTATGAGACAACAAATTTCTTTCTTTCTTAAAAACTTAAAAAAAAAAGTCTTTTGGCCCCACCACATGGCCTGCGGGATCCCAGTTCTCCAACCAGGGATGGAGGCCCACCCCCTGCACTGGCAGCTCAGAGCCTTAACCTTAGGACTTCCAAGGAAATCCCCCAGATAACAAATTTCTCTTACTGGCCTGTGGTACTTTGTTTTGGCAACCCTAGCAAACTACTAGAGTCCTTACGGGAAAAGTAGTTTAAACATTTCTAAAATAGCTAAGTCATTCAAAGAGCTTCGTGCCACCGTATCTCTGACCTTTATTTTTTTAATGGCCCCACTGCACAGGGCAGTTGTCCATAGCCATAGTATCTGCTCTTGACAGGGTACCTCACAGGCATCACAAACTCTTCCTCACATAAACTCTGCACCGCAGCTATTACCTCCATCTCCCAGATAAGACACCTGAAGCTCAGGGAGAGGATGTAACCTGCCAAAGTAGAAACAAGCAGAATCTGGTTCTAAACTGAAGCCAACTCGTTCCTCGGCAACCAGCAATAATGCTTGGGATGAGTCACTGCAAGACAGGACAGGTACCTGGCATTACATTGAGAGAGGGTAGGCACACAGCAGGGCCTGCCTGACTCTTGACATCTCTGGAGTCCCATGATCTCTGTCCCCAGTGCCTGGCAGGAGGGGAACCAGGACAGCTTCTCAAAGAATCACTACAGCAAACAAACGCACAGAGCAGCCTCATCTGTGTACTCCCTGATACTTCCTAGCTTACAAACCTATGTCCATACAAAATGTGCACACAAATGGTAATGGCAGAATTATTCCAAATAGCCAAAAAGTGAAAATAACCCAGATGTCCATCAATGGATGAATGGGTACATGGCATGTGGTACACCCATACAGTGGAATACTAGTTGGCAACTAAAAGAAATGAAATGCTGATATGCATTACAATGTGGGTGAAACTTGAAACATGCTAAGCAAAAGAAGCCAGACTTAAAGGTGACATATGTAGGGTTCTATCTGGATGTTGTTTCTTTGGATTTTCCTTGGTATCCTCCCCATATTCCACCTCAATTTCCTCCCAAACCAGGCTTCTGCTGCCCCTTGAGGCTCTGCTGGGTAAGAAAGAGGAGAGTTCAGACAATAATAATTCTGTAGATGATGTTATAGTAATTATAAATTATCTCATTTCATGTCCATAGCCATGTTCTAAGAGTAATATAATCCCAACTTAGCAGAGACATGGCTCGAGCAGTGGCTGAGAGGCAAAGCTGGGACTCCACCTGAGGTTTTCCAGCTCAAGGTTCATCATCTTTTCCTCTCTGCCAGGGACTGCCTGCAGTTGTAGAGAGAACAGCACCTCCTCTTTACCTTATATGTACTCTTTCCCAGTGGCTCAGCATATAAGAATCTGCCTGCAGTGCAAGAAATATATGAGACCTATGTTCGATCACTGGATTAGGAAGATCTGTTGGAGAAGAAATTGCAAGACACTCCATTATTCTTGCCTGGGAAATCCCACGGACAGAGGAATGTGGTAATATGTAGCAACTTCATATATTTGGGCTTCCCTGGTGGCTCAGATGGTAAAGAATCTGCCTGTAATGCAGAAGACCTGGGTTCCAACCCTGGTCAGGAAGATCCCCTGAAGAAGGGAATGGCAACCCACTCCAATATTCTTGCCTGGAGAAGCCCATGGACAGAGGAATCTGGAGGGCTACAGTCCATGTGGTCACAAAGAGTTGGATATGACTGAGTGATTAACACACACATACACACCTTATATTCAAGGCTGGCTCTAATCAGATCCTGCTAAAGCATCTGATATTTTCACGCTTTGGTAGCCAGGCATTCTCCAGAAGGAGTCATAAGCTCCGACATCCAGACAAGATCAGGGCCCTTACTGCTCTCTCCCTGCCAATGATTAGCCTCTAGTATCCCATAAACACCTCTCTGGCTCCATCCCCAGAGTCTCTGGGATACTTTCTAGGAATAGCTTCCAATGACCTCACTTGCTTTCTCTGGGACACCCCAGTTTCAACTTGTTCCCTCTTTCATGAAAGTTCCTGGGAAGAATTAGGCTTTTTGCACTTCGTCCTTTCCATCTCTGAAACTCCCAGACTGAAGGTAAGAGTGGCCATTTTTGGACCATGAACTAATCTCAGGGCTGAAATCACA